GCAGACCACATAGAGAAAATTAAACAGATCGCGGACGAGCGGCATGCCCTATACAAAGCTCGAACACCACCGAAGCGACTAAAATCCAGGAAAAGCTTCCTTGGAACAGTGTTATATATTAATATATAGTTATATATTATTCATACAATTTTTTTTACTCCTGGTTTCTTATTTATGAAAATATCCGATTAAATACCCACTGAAAAGAATTAATGACTCCATATACAAATAAATAATATAAAATAAAAAGATTTCTCAAATATAAATCATTTCAACACAACACCCAATTTATTCTAATTTGCACCTTAGGTTTGTGACACAGAAGAAAATTACCAAAAGACTAATTGAGAAATTACATCTATAAATTTATTTATAAACATGAAATGATCGTTAAAATAAAACCGTGCATTTAGTCACAGTGCATGCAAGTTTAATTTATCACCCAGCTACTTGAACTGGTCCCAAAAAATTCAAAACAAACTTGTGCATCACTCGTTAGTTACAACATCGCAAAACAGGTTGCCAATCACAAACACACCTTCAAATTCAAAAAGCCATAAACTATTTGTATATGTAATTTTATGTATAGAATTTATGGTTTATTTAAAACTATTTTTGAATTTTATTAGAATGTTTATGTAATTATGTTCATCTGTAATTTGTAGGTATGTGTTATTTTTTGCCATATCAATTTCAAAAAGATTTCTTAGTCCTTATAAAAAAATTATATAGGGTGATGATTTGAAAATTTCTCATCTTTAGTACCTTCATTCCCAGAAACAATATGAAACCGGAAAGACATATCAATTTTGTTTACAAGTCGAAGTATTTTTGGATTTAGTTTTTTCTAATGTTCTAAATATCTTAAAAGCAAGTGATCCCTTGTAGATCCTAGCATCCATCATGTGCGTTATGAATGTTGCTTAAACCTTGGTATTAAAGAAACAAATAGAAATAAGTTGGTTTATGATAAGTTGTTTTGTGATTTTTGGAATGGTGATTACATTGCGCTTAACAACTTCCTTGCTTCCATAGACTGGCAGGTATGTATGGTTAATGATGTTGAAGTTGCTACAAAATTATTCTAGGAATTGCTTACTTTGTGCCATTGAAGAAATATAGAACTTCAACTTTTCCCAAGTGGTTCTCTATTGATCTTAGAAGACTGACTCTGGAGCAAAAATATGCTCACTATATTTATGTTAATAGTCGTACTGATGATGACTCTACTAGATTTTCCCACCTAAGAGCTGAATGTAAACAACTGTCTGAAATATGCTTCAGCAACTCTATTAAAGGTATAGATACTGGCCTAAGGAATGATCCAAAATCATTTTGGAAGTAGATCAATGATAAGCGGTCTAGTCAAAACCTATTTTCTCCTTATTTTATCGAGTCCAATTTCGATATTTCGTGTATTCACCAAATAAAAACAACCTTCCATCCATCTATTAAATACCAACTTTAGTACAAATATTTGCACTTCTAAGATTACCATCACTGATATTTTTAATGGCATAAATGAGCTGCCCAACAACCTTACTGCTAGTCCAGATGGTGTGCCTAATTTTTTATTAAAAAAGTGTGTCTGTACCCTTGTAATACCATTTGTTATATTGTATAATAGATCTTGCGAAACCTCTGTGTCCCTTTTTATGTAAAGGAAGTTATGTTGTTCCTATATTTAAAAATGGCCAAAAAGACAATATTGAAAATGATCGTAGCATTTGTATACAATCTGCAGTCTCTAAGCTCTTCGACAGTCCTATAGCAAAGCAACTTTCTTGGTTATGTAAAGGCTTAATATCTCAATCCCAACATGGTTTTCATAGCAAAAAATCTACTGCAACAAATTTAGTTTGCTATCAATCTGATATATTATCTCATATGGAAGGCCGTAAACCGATAGATATAGGTAGATACACAATATACACAGGTTTTTCTAAAGCATTTGATCGTGTAGATAAACAAATACTTTTAGGCAAATTAATTAATGTAGGCTTTCATGGCAGGTTTGTTGAATGGTTTTTAAAACTCTTCATCTGGGAGAAGTCAAAGAGTCAAGATAGGTTGTCATCTATCTTACAGTATCAAAGTAACATCTGGAGTTATTCAAGGAGGCCACACTTCTCCACTTCTTTTTAATATCTTCGTTAACGACATCACTTCCTGTTTCTTAAATAACAAATGTCTAATGTTGGTCTAATGTTACCGACGCATTTTGAAAATATCATGGATGGATCGCAAAACAAACGAACAAGTTCTCGAACAACTAGGAAAACAATGCGAAGTTTTAAATTCCATAAAGATCAGGAAATTGGAATACTTGGGGCACATCATGAGAGGTGAAAAGTACGAACTACTAAGGAATATAATGCAGGGTAAAATCAAAGGTAGAAGAAGCGTAGGAAGACGTGAAATCTCGTGGCTACGCAATCTCCGTGAGTGGTTTGGATGCAGTTCAATTGAACTATTCAGGCGAGTAACCAATAAAATTATAATTGCCAGAATGATTTCCAATCTTCGATAGGAGTGGAACTTGAAGAAGAATGTTGGCAGATGACTTAAAATTTTAGAAAGTTATAGACAGTTTAAAAGATCAAGCCTTGCTATAAGATGACTTAGACAGACTACAAAATTGGGGCAATCAGAACAAACTTTACTTAAATGTAAAAAAATGTTGTTTTAACAAGGAACAGGCTATACTATTAATAATCAGCCACTGAATCATGTTTCTTCTATTTGGGATTTGGGTGTTATTTTAGATGAGAAACTTACTTCCTGTGACCACATAAATTCTATTTCAATAAAAGCATCTAAACTTCTTGGTTTCGTTACTAGGAATTGCAAGTATTTCTCCATCATTTCAACAAGATTAGTGTATTGTTGCTTAATTAGAACTATTTTGGAATACTGTTCAGTTATTTAGTCACCCTATTTTCAGAAAAATATTGATACTATAGAAAGAGTCCAGCATAAATTTTTGAGATTTTGTGCTTACCACGTCCACACTATTGTGTGGACAACTATTGAAAATCATGATTATTTCTGTATCGAACAACAATTATCTTTACCCTCACTCAAGAATCGTAGTGATATGTCAGGAGCTATATTTATATATACGATCATACATGGATTTATTGATTGTCCATACCTGTTAAGCCAGATTAACTTTAATGTTCTCCATCAAGCTTTAAGGTACCACAATGTTTTCAATATTATTGTCCACAGAATAACCTATAGTATTTACAACCCATTGGATAGATACATGCTCTAAAACTGTTCTTAAAAATAATCCATAATAGGATCTATAGGAAATTAGACGTAGACATCAGTAACACTCAGATGGGATTCAGAAAAGGGCTGGGTACAAGGGAGGCTCTGTTTGTAATGAACGTTCTCTCACAGAGATTTACGCCTGCTTTATTGATTTCGAAAAGGCCTTTGACAAAGTACAACATAAACCACTAAGACAAGTTCTAATAAAGAAAAATATAGACAGCCGAGATATTCGAATTATATGCAATCTATATTGGAATCAAACAGCAAATGTCAAGGTTGAGGGCAGACTAACAGAAGAAATTCAAATCCGTCGAGGAGTCCGGCAGGGATGTATCTTATCGCCACTTTTATTTAATCTGTATAGTGAAGCTATCTGTGAACAAGCACTCGAGGAAGAAGATCTTGGTCTGATAATAAATGGTGAGACGATCAACAATATAAGGTATGCTGACGATACAGTTCTCCTAACGGGAACGCTAGTAGAACTACAACATCTCGTTCAAAGTCTCAATATATACTGTAACAGTTACGGCTTGAAAATTAATTTGAAAAAAACTAAATTTATGGTAATCACGAAATCAAAGAACATCAGAGCTAATCTTGTAATAGACAATACAACGATTGAGCGTGTGCCCTGTTATAAATATCTAGGTGCTTGGATCACAGACGATACTGATCAAACAAAAGAGATTAGATGTAGAATAGAAATCGCTAGATCAGTCTTTAATAGAATGCGCAAACTCTTTTGCAATCGTGATATCAATATAAAGTTACGAATACGAATGCTGCGGTGTTATGTCTTTTCTACCCTGTTATATGGAGTTGAGGCTTGGACACTAAAACAGTTGACCATAAATAACATCGAAGCTTTCGAGATGTGGTGCTATAGGCGCATTCTCAGAATATCATGGATGGACCGAGTCATTAACACGCAAGTACTCCAAACTTTAGACAAAAGATGCGAAATTCTAAATGAGATAAAAACTAGAAAGATGGAATACTTGGGGCACATTGTGAGAGGTGAAAAGTACGAACTTTTAAGAAACATCATGCACAGCAAAATTAAGGGCAAAAGAAGTGTGGGAAGAAGAAAAATATCGTGGCTTCGTAATCTACGTGAATGGTTCGGGTGTAGTTCGATTGAACTTTTTAGGCGCGCTGCTAACAAAGTCGCAGTGGCCATGATGATTTCCAATCTCCGCTAGGAGTGGCACGAGAAGAAGAAGAATGATAGATACATGGGGCTATTAAATGATCGCGATTTTGATATTTTCAATATAACTTTAACTCAGTTAAAAAGATCTCTTGCTTTGTGATATGTATATTGGTATTGTTGAATTTTGTTCTCGTTATACTTTGTTTTTTTTTTTCGTATGTAAGATTTTTAGTCTCATTTTTTTAAACATTTTAATACTGATTTTATATTATAGTTTTGAATCCTAACTGCGATATTGTTTATTGAAATTTAAACTGTTAATGGGGTTATCCCGTGTACTAAATAAATAAATAAATAAATAAATAAAAAGATTGCATTATTTCTTGTTTCACAATTTTGTTTAATGCACTTAATTGTAATTCTATAATAATTGTTATTAATTTTTTTAATGATATATTTCTTTGTTTTTGGGTATAATAGGAGCTCTTTCATCAGCCCCTATATATTTTATAATAATAATAGTAATAATAAAAAGATAAACCAGTATAATATGGACACTTACCGATAATGTGTAGGTTCTATACTCCTTGGCAGCCTTTGTTCAACTTCCACTTTCGTCACTTTCGGTTCAATCGTCGTTTCAGCCTTAGTATCAACATTATTATTATTATTACTACCCCTACTATTAATATTCAGTACGCTAGCACTTTGCGGTTGATGTGTTAATGCTTGAGGGGATTTCGTTGCATGGCAATCCCTAGGAACTAAGAAAAATACTATTAGACCTACTAGTATAGCTAATAGTAAGGCACCGATCGCCATTAGGGCGCAGAGGGATCTCGGTATCACAAGGCCTTTTTTGTCGTTTTGGTTAACGGTATATTTCTTTTGGTTCGAGTTGTTTTCTAAATCTGCCGAAGTTGGCACACCTGAAACAAAAAGAAATTTATAAGAATACGATATGATTATAGACGACAAAAGTAATACCTTACACAGAACTTAAATTATTAAATTGTTGAATAACTAAATTAAACTAGGTACTTCCGAAAAACTAAGTGCTAGGTATATCCGAAATGCCGTCAAAAAAGTCACTACATTTTCTGGGGCAGATATTGGATCTGATCATCAACCACTTTTAGCAGATACTAAACTAAGGTTAAAACGAATTCAGCGACAAAAACCAAAAACCAATGTACTTAACTTTGACGATATAAATATGAAACATAAAATTAAACAAGAATTTAACAATAGAATAAAAAATATCGGTAAACAACTAGAAGATCCAGAAGAACTATGGAGTGAATTTAAAAACCAAATTAACGAAATCTCCTCAAACAATGATTATAGAAAAAACTTAATCAAAAAAAATAAATGGATGACAGACGACATCTTGAAATTAATGGAACAACGTCGACTGATAAAATTTAATGAAACAGAATATAGACACCTACAGAGGAGAATAAAAAGGGAGATCAAATAAAAATGGATGAGAGAAAGGTGCGACGAAATGGAGGATGTAATATCTAAACACGACTTATTTAATGTCCACACAAAACTAAAGAAATGAGTAACTATTTAAAAAACGAGTTCCCAATAAGAAAATTATTGTAAATGAGCAAGAAATAACAAAAAAATGTCAGCTGTATATATCAGAGTTGTTTGAAGATGACAGGAATAATATTGCCGAATTCTACCAAAACTGTATTGACGGCCCAGAAATTATTAAATGCGAGGTAGAACATGCTATAAATATTTATAAAATTAAAAAAGCTTGTGGTCCAGATGATACACCAACTGAGTCAATGAAACTAATAGAGGATGATAACATAAAAGTAGCAGTAAGACTTTTTAATTCAATATATAACACCGGAGCGATTCCCACAGATTGGCTCAAATCCATCTTTGTCGCAATACCTAAAAAAACACAATGCGAAAAAATGCTCAGAATATCGATTATTACCCCAATGAGCCACACTCTTAAAATTGTCCTAAGAATACTTCACAACAGAATTAAGCCGTTTCAGTATTTATATTTCCCAATGAAACACCCTGTATATATATATATATATATATATATATATATATATATATATATATATATATATATATATATATACATTACACTAACGCACTGTGAAATTTTTTTATAGACATACTGTATATCGATTTTACGTCGTGTGAAGTACAAAACAAACATTAGATAAGTTACTTTATATAAAACAGTCGTAATTTGACATCCCACATCAAATAACGTTCTTGAAATGTGAAATGTAAATGTCAGCTAAGTAACTAGACACTTTCCACTTGTATTTTAGTCACAATGTTGTTAATAGTTGATATTGGATAGCCGTGACCCAAAGAATAAGATTTATCGGACGTTTGCAAAATTAAACTAAAACATTCTTGATTTCAATTTACTGTTAAACTGTCCATTATAGTGTTATTAAGTTAAACACGTTCTCATACGTTTTTTTTTGGAACTTTTCTTCTTTTTCTTTAAAAGCCGTTTTTGTTCTGAAAATTTAAATGTTAGAAATCATCAAAGCTATTCGTAATTTCGCAATAAAGGCTCTAAATAGACGTTTATTAGTGGTGTAAAACCATTTATGCAAATTATTTAGCCAGAAAATCTAGTTGGTGCAATCAATAAAGCTTCTTCGAGAACAGTATGTTCCCAGGCAAAGAAAACACAACTATTCTTTTAATGTGCAACGCAGCTGACGGTAAATACCACCATTAATAATATTTAAATGCAAGCATTTGTGGGACCAGTTATTTGCACCTCCCAAAAAAGATTTTCCTTGTACCGTTTATGCTACCAGTAAGAAAGGCTGGATGGAGAGTGATATTTTTACAAACTACTTCCATAAAACTTTTATTCCAGCACTTGGTCTAGAACGCCCCGTTTTAATCATTTATGATGGTCACTCAACCCATATAAGCTTGTAAATACTTAAAGCAGCAGTCATCTTTTGCAACCATTAGATCTGTCTGTTTTTCGGCCATTTAAACTAAACCGGGATAAGAAGTTGATATCTTGACAAACACAGCACATGGGCCAAAAACTGAGAATGTTTTCGCAGTTTATCTGTGAATCTCGGAAAGGTATTTTAACAGAAGTTATAGAGGGTGGATTTCGAAAAGGTGGAATTTTACCAATTAACAAAAATGTTAAACCAGATCAATTTAGATTCCAAGATTCCCCACCAGGATCACTAAAAAGATCGAACGATTCTTAACCTTAGTGTTACCGTATCATTAACCTCAGAAGAGGCAGTAAGTCGACTAAAAAAACAGTAAAAAATCAACACTACCAAAACCAGCTAAAAGAAATAAAAAAGACCAACTTCGTCAAGCAGCGCAGATTTGCAACCTGCATCTCCACCTTATATGGATTCCGACAATTCTGAAGAGTTTAAGCATGAGTTTGAAGATGATAATAACATTAAAGATGTTGACCAAACTGTAACTCCTAATTCTTGGGTACAACTCAGATATTGCACCAAAAAACTAATAAAGCATTTTGTTGGAATGCTCACAGAATCATGCGATGATAGTTGGACAGACCTTTTTGCAAACAAAATTATTGAAAATTGTTTAAACAGGAGTGTTGTAAACAAAGAGTACTTTTTGTTCCGACTAGAGTAAAAGGAGTGGGCTGGCCGAATGAAGGATCTGCCGAGCTCTTCAAAAAATCCAACACAAAACAAATAATAGGTTATAAACCCTTAACTAGTCCAGCGTCGTCTGACAGACGATTCAATATTTTTAATTCTCTCTTATTGGCAATCGGTACCGCCCACACAAAGAGTTTCTCTCATTTCCTAAAAAGTTGTCGCAAAAGTTCAGATGATGCCGGACCGTTTTTGTGTTACTTTTTTGTGTGTTGTGCATTTTTAGAAGTAATGGCCGGGTCATCACAACGGGTGCGTTTCGGCGATGACGATTATACGAAAACTCTTTTAAAGTGGTACAATGAGGAATGTGATAGTGACAGTGATGTAGAGGATATTTCGGAAGACCATAACATTGAACCTGAACACGATACATGTTCGGAGTTTTTGGGATTTGACGAACCTGCAGATTGTGATGAATTAGCAGTTAGTGACGGTAACAAAAAGTATGTTTATCGTAAAAATCGACAGAAGTGGTGTACGTCAGAAGATATCCCTTCATCTAAAACACGTAAACATAATATTGTCATAAAAGTTTCCATTCTAAAAACAAAGGCAAAAATACTGGGTGAGGCTGCAATACCGTTTTATATTCCGAACATGTTGTTCAGTGATAACATTCGAGCAATGCGTGAGAAATATTCTGCTAGTTCTATCCATCATCTTAGAGAAATGGATGTTATTGAGTTAGGAGCATTTTTGGGACTTCTTGTTTACACTGTCATTTTCAATTCCAGTCACGAAAATATAGAGCGTTTATTTGAAACAGATGGAACTGGAAGAGAAATCTTCAAAGCAGACATGAATAAAAAAAGATATTCTGTTCTTTTACTTGCTATCCGATTCAACAATCCTGAAGACAGGGAGGAACGCAAAAAAGATGATCCAACTATAGAAACAGTACTTTCATAGAAAATTGTCAAAGTGTATATAGACTTGGTCAATCTGCCACAATTGATAAAATGCTTGTAAATTTTCGAGGTAGATGCTGGTTTAAAATGTACATGCCTAACAAAGCGGCTAAATACTGTCTTATCGATGCACGTAATGGGTATTTGTATAATGCTTACATCTACAGCGGAAAGGATTTGGTATCAGTGACGAATACAAAAATCTTCTAAAGCCTACACAAGCTGTGTTGCGCTTAGCTGAACCGCTTTTTCATAGTAACGGAAATATCACAGCGGATAATTGATATTCCTCTATTAAATTAGTGGATATTTTGCGGAAGAAAAATTTAACTTATGTGGCCACACTGAAAAAAAAAAAATAAAGCTGAAATACCTCCATCTTTTCTGCCCAACAGAAACAGACCTGAATGGTCAACAATTTATGGATTTAGGGAAGAATGTACCTTAATTTCTCATGTAGGAAAAGTGGGAAAGGCTACAGTACTTATATCTTTATTGCATAATAGACGTGATGCCTGTAGTAATAAACCAGAAATAATTTCTTATTATAATGGGAATAAAGGAGGTGTAGATTTCTTAGGTAAGAAATGCTCCAAAAGCACCTCAAACCGTCGAACTCGAAGATGGCCCTTAATAATTTTTTTCGGTGCGTTGAACGATGCATTCTACATCAGTGCTATAAAAACAATCCAATAATTAAAGAAAAAAGTGTTTTTGCTTTGGAGTTGGCTATGCAGTTAGTACAAGATCACAAGCGCAGGATGACAAAATACCTGTGTTTGCGTTGTTTCTGATGTACAAAACCACTATGTAAAAATTGTATATAAAAATGGTAGGGTTTGACTGATGTTGAAAACAAACTTTTTTGATCGATTTCCTTTTTTGTTTAGTGTGCAGTTTAAACATTTATCCTAACAATACACTTTTTTTATGTGGTTTTTTTATATTTCTTTTATTTACTTTATAAAACTACGTTTCAAAATATTTGTAAGGAGTTAAGTTTTATTTTAATATTTTTTTCAAATCAACTCAACTCAACTCGAATAACGCCCAAATCTAATACTTTTCTTTTTATATAAATATATCAGGGTGCGTTAAAAGAAAGTTTCTATTGTAAGTGGAATTATACAGTGCAAAGTACAATGCGTTTCCCATGAAAGTGGGGACTAAACCAAATTTCGTCTACTGCGCCGTGGTCAGGAGTGCTTGCCACGTACTATAGTAACATTTTAGGAGACTCCGCCGGACCAGTTACGCGATTGCTACAGTACCGGACCAGTTAAGGGTTATGACGAAAAATTCTTATTTTTACTAACTTGTTTGTCTACTATGTACTCTGGGGTTTTGATATTTAGTCCATCCATGATATTTTAAGATCGAATCACGAATGCCCCACATAACAAACGTGATATTTGAAAATCTTTTGAAAAGCGTGATTTAATGTGACTTTTCTATATTTGTTATGTTTAATATTTTATCATGTACAAGATTCATAACCATAAAGATAATGACCTTACTCTCGT